AATCAGGCTTCCTCCATGTACTGGGGTCTAGTAGGAGGGATCTGTGCACTTCTGACCCAGGAGAGCCTGGGAACTGCTGTGGAGCTGAAGGCAGGACACAGGGAACAGAGAGAAGATGGGCTCTGTCCTCACAGGCTGGGCTGACTCTAGGTGCTGAGTGTGAGCAGGAGTTTTTGGGAGTGACACATATATTCACGGAGGAGGTTACAGAGGTTGGGAATGCTGGGCCCTTCATGAGCAGATCTGACAGGACACAGCAAAGTCTGGTGAGGCTTCTGGAGGTTTGGGAACAGAGCAGAGCCTGGGCTTCCAGCAGGGACCAGTGCAGGGACATCCTGTGACCTCCCCTCCATTTGCTGTGAGAGTTTTCATCCCAGCTGTGCCTGTCCTCACTGCTGTTCATTAGAGAATTAGCTTCAGGGGATGTCCTAGGACATATTTTGGGATGGAGAGATATAGAAGGGGACATTGTGGGGTGACTGGAGGAAGATGACAGCAGAGGAAACAGGGAAGGATGAAGTGGATCGTGTCCTCAGATGGGTCAGTGGGAGGTTACTGACTGGATCACAGGATGTGGAGAGATACGGATGGTCTAGAGTGTCAGGTGAATGATGGTGGAGGATCACAGAGACAGGGATGCCTGCAGTGACACAGGTGAGGTCAGATGGGAGAGCAGGTTGATGGCTGATGGTAAGTCTTGCAGATCTGCCTAAGATTTAAAAAGAAATACAAAACAAACAAAGGACACAAAACTCAATCAGTAGCTGAGGATTTTAACAGGACAAAGAGAATGGGGACCTGACCGTCTCTACCAGGCCAGGAGAGATCCTGACCACATCTGAGAACACAAATCAGTGGTGAACCCCCCAGTGCTGATTCAAAGGAAGCCAGGCCCTGCACTCGTTACCCCAAATGAGGAGCCCAAATCCTTTCTGATTTACACTGGCTCTGAGAGCAGGACTTCAGCACCTACCCCCTGTGGGACAGTGACCTCTGCTTCATTCCTGAACAAATGGGTGACGGGCACTGAGGGGGGCACTTGACAGGATGAGCACTGGGTGTTGGCAAATTGAACACCAATAAAAAATAAATTTATTATTTAAAAAAAGAACTGAGGGGATCCCTGGGTGGCGCAGCGGTTTAGCGCCTGCCTTTGGCCCAGGGTGCGATCCTGAAGACCCGGGATCGAATCCCACGTCGGGCTCTCGGTGCATGGAGCCTGCTTCTCCCTCTGCCTATGTCTCTGCCTCTCTCTCTCTCTCTCACTGTGTGCCTATCATAAATAAATAAAATTTAAAAAAAAGAACTGAAAAAAAGGGGAAAAAAGAAAAAGGAAAAAAAAAAGAAACTATTTGGGCAGCCCTAGGTGGCTCAGTGGTTTAGCGCCACCTGCAGCCCAGGGTGTGATCCTGGAGACCAGAGATCAAGGCCCATGTTGGGCTCCCTAAATGGAGCCTGCTTCTGCCTGTGTTTCTGCCCACCCCCCCTCTGTCTCTCTCTCATAAATAAATAAATAAAATATTTTTTTAAAAAAGAAAAGACACTATTTAACTTTTCTCCATACCTGAGCCCTGCAAAACTCAGAATCTGTCATTGAGCACTCTTATAGTTTTATGACAATGTACTTATTAGCACGAAGTTTAATATTCTGTTTTTTTTATTTTTATTTTTTATTTTTTATTTTTTTTAATTTTTTTATTTATTTATGATAGTCACACACAGAGAGAGAGAGAGAGAGAGAGGCAGAGACATAGGCAGAGGGAGAAGCAGGCTCCATGCACCGGGAGCCCGACGTGGGATTCGATCCCGGGTCTCCAGGATCGCGCCCTGGGCCAAAGGCAGGTGCCAAAGGCCGCTGCGCCACCCAGGGATCCCCAAGATTCTGTTTTCTTATAAGAATATATACCTGGAAGCATTGGTTATGTTACCAAGATGTTGACTAGAATGTCATATTGGTTTTTATATATAAATATATATATACATATATATGATATATGTATATATACATATGATATATACATATGATATATATATATCATCCTACTACCTTCTTACAGTTTCCAACAGCTTTACCAGGCTAGTCAGGAGGTCATGTCCTGGCAGGTGCAGGAATCCTGGGATATTTGGGTACCTCAGGAACAGACAATGCACCCAAGTGTATACATGTTGCAGGCTAAGTCTGATGACAAGGATTTGTCACAAGTTTTGGCTTGGCTTCTGTACTGGAGGAGCTGTTAAACATTTCATTCAGAGGTTTCTCACAAAAGTTACAGCAAATCACATTTTAACAAGAGCCTATATGTTCAAGTGCCATGCTTCCTGCAAATATGTGAACAATCTGATAAGTTATTTGTGAAAATATTCATATTCAGTGAACCAATTAATGTTAATTCAGCTACATTTAGTAGAAGATTGGGTGGTTGCTGAGGAAACATATATTTCAATGACACATCTGAGTAAATACTTGAGTCGATTCCTGTTCATTATAACCTGAACTTGATCCCGATTTTCTCTAGCTTCCTAGAATCTCTGGGTACAAATCTGAAAACTAGCATGTTGATTTTTCTCCCTCCTTTGGAAGTGCATTAAAACTGCCCTATATCCTGAAGTCCTGAAAGGTAAATGTGAATCCAACGATAGAACCTTCAGAGAAGTCACCACAGCAGCTCATGTAGAGGTGGTCTTCATGCCACTTTTGCTCTCTGGAACAGTCAGAGATCACCAGACACATTTGAACTACAAACCAGGAAAGTCTGTCAGATTGTCACAACCTTCTGTCACTCTACCTGAAGACACATGAGCTTGACATCAAGAAATCTTCTCCACTGTTGCTCTCAGAACTCAGCAACTGCCCACAATTTCATTCAATCATTTACCATCCTTTTTTCCCCATACAAATGCCTCTTGTTTAATACCTGATTTCTTGAACCACAAGCCTGACTTTGAGAATGCACCTCCATCAACCCCTCCTGAAATGGGTTTAAATAAACTGGCCTATCGTCAGGAGAGGGTCAACAAAATGAACAATCTGCTAGCACAACTTTTAACACATGTTCTTTGGGAAATTTCAGAGAATGGAGGGAACTGGCTAAATATAGGCTGCCCAGATTGGACCCCATTGGCATGAACATTAGTTTCACTTTAAACAAATGAAAGAGCAGATTTAGGAAACGCTCTTTAATCCCCCAAAACTGCCAGCTTGTAGGCTCCCTACAAAGGCTCCCTCTTTACCTAAGACATGTATCTACACAGCAGGACATCCTCTCTTTTCCAAACAACTCCTCTCCCCTTCCCTCTAATGCACTTTCTCCTCTTTGGTCATCGGACCCCTGCCCCTCTCCTTCATGCACGTATGTGTCATGGTGCCTGACTGTCTTTAGAATTCTCCACGTCTGTGTGGATACCCAGTATGTAGGCTATGAACTTTGATTTTCTCTTGTTAATCTGCCAAATGTCAATTAGATTCTTATTAAAACAGAGGGACCTGAAGAGCACAGGAAATACCTCCACAGCAACAGGCACTGGTGAAGTTTCATCAAGGTCCGTCAAGAGTAAGCAGAGATGTGCATCGCTAGGACTCCTGATCAACAGTCCCCTGGATCAGGGGCTGATCCTATATCCTGGAAACAAGACGTAGATGTCATCCTGCATCAGAAATGGATCCTCACACTGTCTTAGCTGGTGGAGGCCCCTCCCCACACTGTTCCAAGAACCCCACCTTCTTCATCTCCTTCCAACTCTCATCCCAGTCCTGGCTTCCTCTATGTCATGAGGACTCTGACTTTCCTCCTCATCATCATCCCCTTGTTCAGAACTCCTAGTCTGACTGGGACAGAGTCCACACCCCTGCCACGTCCCCCCCTACATGCTCATGGCCTGCTCCAACACTATGTGTGCGGGACTGGGGTGTCATTGTGGGACATCACATTGTGGGGTCCACCCCACCAAGCTCAACCCTCCTCAGTATCCAGGGACAAGCTTTCCTTATTATACATTTATTCTGTGTCCTCTCTCTTTCCCCAGACACTGTCAGCTCCTTGATCATGGGGACTCTTCCATGTCCACTTGTGTCCCACATCTCTAGGCTCACATGGGGCACATACTAGGTGTTCAGTAGGTGGTGTGAATGCACACTGTAAGGACAGTGCTCCATCCTCAGTCAGACGCAGGTGGACTCTGTCTCCTGTTCTGTCTTGACTTGTCACAGTGATACAGGATTGCCGATCCCAATGGTCAAGAATGAATTCTCGAGATATATAATGTTGGTAACAAATGATTTTGTTATAGCGGGAACAGGACCTGTGGGCAGAAAGCTGCACTGGGATTTTGAGGAGGGACTGATGATATTCTTTTTAATAAGTGGAGGTCGGGGATAGTGCAAAACCCTAAGGAATTTGGAAGCAAGGCTTTCAGGACCTTCATGATCTAGCTGCTGGTAAGGTAAGGTTATTCCCAATCTTTAATAAAGATAAACATTAACGCACTAAGGCAGCCATGAGTTCCTTGAGCAACTCACTCTCTGCATATGTCAGGTCTCTAACAGTGGGCTGCAGGCTGTAAGGACATTTAATTTAATCTATGTTTTTCTTGTCATTCTTTCTTCATCGATAGACTGTGAACAGAGCATCATGCTCCTGACAACAAGGAATCTCCCCTCAATACGAGAAAACCATAGAATGTGTTCGAGCCAAGGTCAGGGTGCAGGGGCTGAATTGAAGAGAATCAGGATCATTTTGAGCCAAAGTTCTGTCAGGTTGACCACAGACTGCAGTTTACACCAAACAAAGGGGTAAGCTGACTTGGCCAAACAGTGGGTGCTACAAAGCAAAACTCATTTCTGGGGAGAAAACAGGTTTGTATCTCACTTCCTCCCTGGCCCAGAACACTGAGTGACCATCGAGGTTGTCATCAGAGGAATGGCAGTGATAATCAGCCTCGTCCTCAGCCTGGAGCCCAGTGATGGTCAGGGTGGCTGTGCTGCCTGACTTGGAGCCAGAGAATCAATCTGGGACACCCGAGGGTCGATTGTTATCACCGTAGATGATAGTTTTAGGGGACTTTCCTGGGAGCTGCTGGTACCATTGTACATCATAACCACTGCTGATGTTGGTGCTGCTTCCAGTGCAGGAGATGGTGATCCTCTGTCCCAGGGCCGCAGACACTGAGGGTGGCTGAGTCAGCACAGCCTGGGCCCAGGACACTGCAACAGGGAGAGACATAGAGAGGGTGATGCAGGAGTCTGGAAACAAGAGGAGGAAGCAGTACCTCACATGTCCTCCCAGGGCCCTTCCCCCATCCCCACATCCAGTCAACTGTGCAGTGGGCAAGGAGGGTGAGGAGGAGAGGGGACCAGGGCATGGTGGAGGTCATCCCTGATCCTGCCTTCAGTGGTCCCACAGCTGAGCAGAGCCTCCTCTCATCTCTCTCTTCTCCTCTTCATCTTCTCTGGGAGGGAGGGCCCATCCATGCAAATGAGACCCCGGCTTTTGACACCCACCTGGCTTTGTGTCAGGTCACGCTGCCTGAGATGACAGGGGCATGGGCAAGGGAGGGAGTGGGGAGGTCCCAGCTGTGATCTCTGAGCAGAGGGCACAAGCAGTGCCAGGTGGCAGGTCCCAACTCTGATCACTCTTGACTCTTCAGAAATGGAATCAGAATGCCCCCTGGTATCCAGACCCAGAGGCACCACTGTGTGACAAGGTGACCAGGGCCCACATCTCCTGCTTCCCCAACTCTTTGCCCACTGTTCCTTGCATTAGGGCCAGTCCAGAACCCGTATGCCAGCTCACATTACTTCAGGGGTCACTATTTGCTCCACTGGGAATCTTCAGAGAGAGTTTGTCCACAGCTCCCTTGACTTCTCCTGGTCAGGGCAAAGGTGGTATCTCTTATACAAATTCCTCTTAGAGTTCAGGATCCAGTCCAGAACAGTGCCACATCCCCATGGACACATGGCCCCTGCTATGCAGGATGCTGGGATTTTCCTCTCATGAGGCTTCTCTGATTTCCAGAGTTATCTTCCCCTGAGTTCCACACAACACTGAGGACATGGGGACAAAATTACCAAACAGATACAGCTTCTTGGATAAAGTGACTTGGAGACAGACCACTCTCTGGGTTGAGTACAGCTTGATTTTCTGCAACTTGTGTCCAGCATGTACAGGATAGAACATTAATCGTGAACTTCCCATGACTACAGGCATGGATTTCTCCTGCCCAAGGCCCCATGGACTCAGAAGATTCTGTCAAACAACCCACATGTGATTGGAGGAGAGCTAGTGCTGAGGGGAATGATGCCCCTGAGCTCACAGGCCCTTTGGCGCTGGGATGGGTCACAAGACTTTCCATCAGACTGCGGCCTAGTTGGAGGTGGCAGTTGGGTGACTGAGGTAGTGACAGCCCAGGCAGACAGTACAGGGAGGGGTGGCTCATGTTCCCAGGGGCCTGGAGCTCCGTGGGAGCAGCCCTGAGGCTGAGGTCTCAGAATCAATGGAATGATCAGGATCAGACACTGACTGGTGCCAAGAGATGCTCAGAGACTGAGCTGCTCATGGGGACGGAGACTTCCCCTGGGTATCCTGAGCATCAGTCTCAACCTAGAGGAACAGGCTCTGTGCACACCCAGGCTGCCCTGGTGACAGGACCCCAGTCACACTAGATGTCACCAGTGTTTCCTGTTGAAGAAGCTTCTGTCTCCCAGACATTGAGGCTCTGAGAATGGCTGACTGAGGACAGGTTGGCTCTGAAGGGATTGAGAAGCCTGGAAACTGCAGCATCCAGGATACTATTCATTCAGGCAGAGGAAAGAACTCTGCGTGTGTGTGTGTGTGTGTGTGTGTGTGTGTGTGTGTGAGAGAGAGAGAGAGAGAGAGAGAGAGAGAGAGAGAAAGAGAGAGAGAGGGAACGCAAAATGATGAATGAGGCTATGTGACCCTTCTCCTTCCAATGACTTCGAAACATGCTGAGGGATGGTTCTCCATGGAAATGCTCTTCTAAATATCCAAGGTCTTGAACTTACATTTAGAGGTAAGCATCTCAAAGATTTTTTATTTGAAAAGATTATTTCTAAAAAGATTTTATTTATTTATTCATGAGAGACAGAGAAAGAGAGAAAGAGAGAGAGAGACAGACAGACAGGAAGGCAGAGGGAGAAGCAGGCTCCATGCAGGGAGCCCGACCTGGGGCTTGATCCCAGGACCTCAGCGTCCCACCCTGGGCTGAAGGTGGTGATAAACCACTGAGCCACAGGTGCTGCCCTGAAAAGATTGTTAACCAAGAGGACTTGTGTGAGATCAAACATGTTAACAATCCACGGAATCAGGAGTCTAGAACCTGTTGAGTGACAAGAAATCTGTCCATTCCTTATCTCCGCAGACACTACACCTACATCTCTAGGGTTTCCAGGTGTTGTGGAGCGCAGGGCAGGGGTGAGACCCAGCCTCCTCCTTCTAACCCCACAACCCAGCCTCACCTAAAGTCCCCTGAGTTCCCCTGGTGTCTACGAGGAGTGCGAAAACATACTGCTGAGAGTTTTGTGTCTGTGTGTGTGAAAAAACGCTACAGCTTGGAAATGTTTGTATGGTAGAAAATGTTTCTGTGGTGGATCTACGGTCCACAGCATTCTTCAGAATGAAAATCTGGAGCATAAGAAAAATAATGACTTATCTTAAAATATGCAGGCATACCTTTGTCTATGGATTCCTCCAGGATTCCCCATAACTGAGGGCATCGGATAATTCTGAAGTAGGTAAAAATCATTACATCCCATGTGCAAATCCCTAAAAGTAGATAAACACATGCTTCTCAGGAAATGTAATAATCTTGTTTATATTAAATAGAGTGGAGTAGGGGGTGCATCTAGGAGGTGCAGGTTGCTGAGCATCAACTCTTGCTTTTGCTGATGTCCTAATCCCAGGATAGTGAGCCTGAGCCCCGCACAGAGCTCTGCACTGAGCCCAGAGTCTGCTTGAGCCTCCTTCCTCCTCAAGCCCAGAGTCTGCTTGAGCCTCCCTCCTCCTGCCCACCCGCAGCTCCCCACTGCATGCTCTCTCTATATATAAAAATAAATAAACCTCTAAAAATATTAAGACTGACCAGGAGTGCTGGGTAACAGAAAAATGGAGCCTAGATCTTAGAGCAGGAAGGAGAATGTGAGGGGTTCCATGCAAATCCATTTTCCTTTCTCCTCCAAGAGTTGGACCCTTGAGAATAGAAACTACAGGGAGATCATTTCTGGTTTTCTCTGAAATCCTGATGTGGAGACATAGCTCAGACCTGAAGAGCCAGAGGGAGAGACCAAAGCCAAAGACAGAGGAACAGAGGGGGGAAGAGAAGAGAGGGGGGGTTGTCGGGGAGAGCCTGCAGGATCTGGTCCTAGTTCCCGTGGAGATGGTTCAGAGAGAGGAGACTGTGTCTGTGACCAGCGTTATGGTCAGTGTATCCCCTGTGGACATAACAGTAGTGACACAAGGTCACACTCCATGGAATGAGATGATAGAACTGAGTGTGGAAGAATGTTTGGAGTCTGCACGTTCAGCTGGATCACAGCGTTTCTTCCTGTTCATCTTCACATTGAGTGGCGAGGTGCCTTAGGCTCTTTTATGTTGTATTTCTGTGTCTCCTGGAATGTTCCATTTTCTCTCAGTCTATGCGCATTACTGGAAGGTTTCTGTTTCCTGTAAAAGGATAAATCATCATGCAGCAGAGACCACCCTGCTCAGTCTCTCCAGATAAGTTTCTTCCTGAATGGGGGTTCAGAGAAAATCGTAGGGTCCAGAGATTTGTCTCACTCCCTCCTTATCTGAGACCCTGTGACTATCTTGTCAAGGAGGACAAGCTGACAAAGTCTGTGGAGGAAAGTCAGGCTGTAGCCTGAAAGCTCAGTCAAGGCTGTGCTAGCTCACAACTCAGTGCGTGTCCCAGAGAGCTCCTCCTATATAAACTCCCATTTTGCTGCTCTTCCCTCCACAAAAGGTGAATTCTACATTTGAGGCTTCACAACAGCTTCATAGGCAAAGGGATTTGCAGCAAATACTCAGATTCCTCCCCCCTAGACATCCAAGCCATCCCCCTCCACCCAAGACTGTTGCAAGGCTCCGCTGTGTACAGGAGGAGAGGAGGCCACAAGCAGGTACTGGGGGATCAGGAACAGGCCCTCCAGGATGCCCATGGTCCTGAGTGGTGTCAGCTGTAGGAAGTCACATCCACAGGACTACTTCACCCAGTGTCCCTGGAGCAGGTTCAGGATTTTTACACAATTCCAGGACCCAAAATCCCCCATTCCTAACCACAACCCTGATGTCACAACTGAGGGTGAAGTCCACAGCTATGGGCCAGGAATTCCTCTTGAGTCTGGTTCTCACCCAGCATCCCCACAGCTTTGTGCCTCATACCTAGGACGCAGTGAGCCTTGGCCTGTCCTGAGAGCAGAGGCCTGGGAGAGAAGAGGAGGTTTCTGCTCTGACAGCTGGAACTACAGAGTCCACCCTGAGTAATACTTTCAAACTGCTGGGATGGTCTCTTTGTTCTGAACATTAAATTTATAAAAGCAGATGTTCTATGGGAAGAGAAGAGGACCACCATGACAACAGGTTTTAGTTTTTTTTTATTTGTATATTTTTTAATTGGAGTTAGATTTGCTAACATATACCATAACACCCAGTGCTCATCCCATCAAGTGCCCCCCTCAGTGCCTGTCACCCAGTCATCTCCACCTCTCGCCCAGGTCCCTTTCCACCACCCCTTTTTCATTTCCTGAATGGGGGTTGGGAGTCTCTCATGTTCTGTCTCCCTCTCTGATATTTCCCACTCATTTTCTCTCCTTTCCCCTTTATTCCCTTTCACTATTTTTTATATTCACCAAATGAATGAGAACATATAACATTTGTCCTTTCCTTATTGACTTAGTTCACTCAGCATAATACCCTCCAGTTCCATCCATGTCGAAGCAAATGGTGGGTATTTGTCGTTTCTAATGGCTGAGTAATATTCCATTGTATACATAAACCACATCTTTATCCATTCTTCTTTCATTGGACACCAAAGCTAATTTTTCAATTTGGATCACTAACAATATTTCTGTATCTATTTCTTCTCAGTTTGTATTTCTTCTGTGTCTTCAGAAAGGTGTAAATAGAAAACTAGGAGGAAAGATATTGTGATAAATCTACTTCCAGTAAAATTAGTGTGTATTCAAGTTCTCTTATATTGGGAGACAGACAGAGTCCAAGGCCATAGGCAGGCTGAGGTGTTGCCCCACGTCCTCCTCAGTGTGTGTCCCTGTGACCAGGACCACTGTGCCAGATTGTACAGTAAGAGTCAGCCTTGTCCTCACGCTGCAGCCCAGAGATGAGCAGAGGCCCTGCTTCGGTGGAGGTGTCTTCAGATCCAGAGCAGGGCTGGGGACGTTGAGCCCTGGTGCTTATCTGAGTCTGAGTAGAACCTCAGGAGATACTGGGGGGGGGGGTGCTCCCTGGCTTCTGTTGGAACCAATATATGTAGCAGTCGCCAACAATGAAGCCACTGCTCATGGTTCATGTGAGTCTGGCTGTTGTTCCTGGAGATGCAGAGAGGGAGGGCACCTGGGCCAGCCCTGGCTGGGACAGGGAAACTATAGATACAGAAACTCCCAGGAGGTGGGGCATTTTTGGTGGGAGTTTCAAGGGGATGATAATATGGGGGAAACTCTCCCAGAAGACAGATGATGTCCCTGCCTGGGCAGAAAGACAAGAACTGGAGGAGGAGAGGAGTCCAGGCAATGTTGACAAATCCCCTGTCCCAAGAATGGAGCTGCGCTCTGTTAGGCTTGTCTAATTCTCCCTACAGTCTCCAGGCAAATGACAGTGCTCTTTTTGCAAATTGTCACCCCTTCCAGACTTTCTCAGACTCCATCTGGTCAGTGATTCAGAAAAACTGGGGACAGAGGATGCTGAAGGCAGGGACTGCTCAGAGTGGACATACGAAGGGTGGAGGGAACATCTGTGGGAGCCCCTCAGGACGCTGCTCAGGATCCTCTGCCAGGCCCTGAGGGAACCAGGCTTCTGGGTCTCACCAGGGGCACAGGGGGCAGCTCAGCCTCTGCCCAGCTCTGAGGCCGGGTGGGGGGCTTCTCCAGGTCGGAGGGTCCCCTGCAGGGCCCAGGGGATGCACAGTGCTCCCTGCTGATTACATGTCCCTTTCAGGGTCCTCAGTGTCCTGAAGGTAACATCCAGAGCTGTGACCCCAGCACTCACCAGTGACCTGAAGGACTGGGTGGAGCACCCTGCATGGTCTGCTGTAAAGAACATGGATACAGGGTCTGTGATTTGAGAGCTTCCCACATGGAGGGAAGAGTCTTCACAAAATAAGCACTCCTGTGAGAGGGGGAATGTCTATAAAACCTAAATCATGCAAAAGACTGAGCCTATCCTAACCCCTGGAACATTTAGGGAGCTCCTCAGAGGAGGGCCTTTCATATTCATCTCAGGAGAGGAGTGGCGGTGTTCTGCACAAAGAACATCGAAGAAAATATTAAAATATTAAAACAATGCATAAAGATCTTCAACCCAAGATGGGAGGCAGTGATTTAACAGAAGCATCACCACCTGGTGAACCTGTGGCCCCGGGGGATAGGAGGGGGGACAGAACAGGGCAGGTCTGAAGATACCCACTTGTCAGGGCAGAGCACCTGAAGCAGGAGCACAGCAGGAGGGGATGCTGGTGGCTGTGGTCCCAGGAGAAGGTGGGGAGAGAAGGGGGAAGAGGACTGTGTGAACTGGGGTCTCTGCCATGAGGAGCCCCTGAGAGGATGCTGCTGTCGCTGCAGGGGAGCCTCAGGTAGGGAGAGGCTTCTCTGAGCATGAAGGAGTAGAAGATCTGGGGAAGGAGCAAAAACACTGAATTCCAGCTCAGAAATTGTAGACCCTGACCTTGAGCATCAGGATCAGTGCTCACAGCCTGAGGCAGATGTGCAGCTCTGGTGAGCAGGCCCTGGGGTGTTGTGTCCGTCAGTGGGACAGGAGACTGGGTTGGTACCCTGGACCTCTTCCCTGGGTGCAGGACAGGGGACAGGAGTCCAGGAGGCAGTGTCCCTCAGTCTAGGCTGGCTCCGGAGGCCTTCCCTGCAGTGTCCCTGAAGTGTGTGGGGATGTTAGTCCTCCCCTCTGCTCCAGGCCCCCAGGGCTAAGCTGGGTGTCAATGACATGACACGTGACCCTCCTCATCTCCCCCATAAAAATGTTTCAGGAGGGCTGAGGCCAGTGACCATGTGTTGGGGGCTTTGCAGACGTTTACAACCCAGCGGGACGAAGAGTCATGGAGGAACATGAGGTGAATGTCCAAGGTCAGGCTGCAGTGACTGGGATATGGGCATCTTGGACAAGTGGGGTGGAGAACCACAACCTCTGCCTTGACCTGCACATCCCCAGGATCCCAGCCACATGGAGGCAGAGCTTGGGGCTATTTCTCAACCTTTCAGCCCCCAGAGGGAGGAGAATATCATCTTGGTCACTGCTCCACACTCCCAGTTCCACTCCTGGTGCCTGTAATGGGAAGGGCCTGGGAGGACCCATTTGAGCTCAGGGGGTCTGGGGCTGACAGCAGGTGGGACCTGGGCCCAGACTCAGGCAGGGGCTACCTTCCCAGCTCTAAGCACCCCATGGACCCCAGGGACAGGCTCCCAGGTTACTGCTGTCTCAGTCCTGGTCCACACTGGCTGAGATGAGGGAAGAGGATTCCAGAGCAGAGCCCTCTGCCTCCAGTGCTGTGGGTTCCCACCCCTTGTGCATGGAGGACAGGCCACACCCGGGTCACACCCAGCCTTCCTGAGGCTGCACCTCATGACCCCCAATGGCTCAGAATCACCTGCTGTGGCTCCTCCCTGGGGACTGTCTCCAACTGTCCCCCCTGCTCCACTGCTTCTCCAGGATCAGAGTGAGGCTCAGGGTCAGGACCATCCCCAGGACAGGGAGCACATGGACAAAGACTTCAGGGATGCAGCCCCCATGGACTCCAAGGTGGGTCCTTGAGGCCTCGTCTCTCTCTGTCTCTCTCTGTCTCTGACTCCCACCCCAGATCCTTCTCTATCAGCTGAGCTTCTGTCCACACTCCTGGTGGGGAGGCCACAGGCTCACCCTGTCTCTACGATGTCCGCTGCCAGTGGCCCCAGGTGTGTGCTATAATTTACAGGATTATAAATAATCAACCTTTAGTTTTCAAACTATCCTGTGTTGTAGCTGAAGGACCTAGGGCAATCGTCTCCAGAACCATAAGGGCAGATCTGATCTCCACCCTGGCTATGGAGAGGTTGAGACCCTCACAACTGAGGACCTTCTGTTCCTGAAGTGACAACAATGTCTCCCATCATCTGTGACTGTGGATGTCACGGTTCAATTCCAGGCCCGGCCCCAACACATGACAAGGACTGAGCCCTCAGCCCAGGGGACACACTCTGTCATCCTAAGGAGCTCACATGCAGTTTCTTTGCTCCCTTTTCAAATTTCCTGTTCACACTCCCTCAGGTCCCCACCTTCCTGTCCTCCCCCTTTGGGGACAAGGGGTCACACCTCCTTGGAGAAGTGGATGGGATGATATTCCCCTGTGAGCTCCGTCATGGACCCCAGACTCCTAGAAGACATTCTCTGCCTGCATGAGGGTGCTGTCGCTCTGGGGTACAGTTTACTGAGCTGTGACAACACAGCACTGTGGTACAGCCACCATCCCAGTGCTTTGTAGGAGAGTGACATCACCACGAATACAGTTGCCTCACACACTCACCCTCCTCCTTCCTCCACCTGCTGTCAATCCCTGCCTCCTTACCACCTCTAGATTCCCGCCTCTTCCAAAATACAGTGAAATTCCCATGGTGTGGAATTTAGCCTTTTATATGTTATTCATCCTGAAGAAATGTGCAGTTATTATTCATGCATGTTTTTGAACTTAAGAACTTAATTCTTTAAATGTTGACTAATATCACCCTCTATGACTATACATCAGGTTGGAGTAAATCTTCGTTAATTGAAGTCTGGTCATTTTATTTTTATTTTTTTAAAGATTTATTTATTTAGTTATGATAGACACACACACACAGAGAGAGAAAGAGAGAGAGAGAGAGAGAGAGAGAGAGAGAGAGAGAGAGAGAGAGAAGCATAGACACAGACAGAGGCAGAAGCAGGCTCCATGCCAGGAGCCTGATGTGGGACTCGATCCCGGGACTCCAGGATCGTGCCCTGGGCCAAAGGCAGGCGTCAAACCACTGAACCACCCAGGAATCCCCCAAGTCTGGTCATTTTATAAAAAGCTGGTATAAAAAAAAGTGTGCACATTTTTTATTCCTTTGAATTGTATTGATTATGAATAAATTTTCCATAAACATTCATGTGGGGATTTTCTAGAAAGCTTTTTTCCCTTTTATATTTCTGAGTGTGCCATTGATTTATGTGTTCCATGCAATCATCAAATAATTGTAAGAACTCGTCCCCTAGTTGAAGCTAAGGCAACAATGTTCCCAGCCGCACAAAGAGCTGACATGTGCATCAGCAGAGCAGGGATGGGACTGAAGGACCATGATAGCTTCATGACCTAAGAGTATTTCTTTTACTGAGAAATCAGAAGCTGAAAAGTGAATGTTCGCAAGCCTAAAAGAACCTGTCCCTGATCCCGAGGACAAAACTTTCTCTTTCCTTTGACACCCTCTGTGCACAATGGGCTACTCTGAGTGACTCTGAGGTCAGAGATGATGAAGCAAGTGCCATTCCCAGGAGGTCCCCAAGATGCATCTGGGCTCAAGCCTCAACTGATGAATGAGAAGAAACCCAGGGGGAGCCTAAGCAGGCAGCTGCTGGGTGCTCACTCACTTTGCCGTCGGGTAAGTAGGTTTTTGTCTCACTTCCTCACAGGCCTGGAGCACTGTGCCAGCATTGAGACTGTTGTCATATGTTGAGCAGTAATAATCAGCCTCATCCTCAGCCTGGAGCCCAGAGATGGTCAGGGTGGCTGTGCTGCCTGACTTGGAGCCAGAGAATCGATCGGGGACCCCTGAGGGTCGGTTACTACTACTATAGATGACGGTTCTGGGGCCTGTTCCCGGGAGCTGCTGGAGCCAGCTCACAGAATATCTACCGATGTTGGAGCTGCTTCCAGTGCAGGAGATGGTGACCCTCTGGCCCAGGGACCCAGACACTGAGGCCGGCTGAGTCAGCACAGACTGGGCCCAGGAACCTGCAAGAAAGAGAAATGGGGTGATGCTGGAGTCTGGATCCCACATGTCCTCCCAGGGCCCCTCCCCCTGTCCCACATGCAGTCACCTGTGCAGTGAGCTAGGAGGGTCAAGAGGAGTGGGGACCAGCCCATGGTGGAGGTCATCACGGATCCCGTCTTCAGTGGCCCCACAGCTGAGCAGAGCCTCCCCTCATCTCTCCCTTCCCCTCTTCATCCTCTGAGAGAGGGAGGAGCCTCCAATGCAAATGAGACCCCAGCTCTCTGACCCCTCCCTGGCCCTGGGTCAGGTCCCTCTGCCTGAGAGTGTCAGGGGGGTGGACAGAGGAGGGGCTGCTTGGGGCTGGGGTGTGATTGGGGAGGTCCCAGCTGTGAGCCCTGAGCAGAGGCCACAGTCAGTGCCAGGTGGTGTTCCTAGCTCTGATCCAGCCTGAGCCCTAAGAAATAAGCCTCAACTGCTTTCTGGTATCCTGACATCACCTCACCCCACATGACATGGGGATCAGTTGCCCATAGGACACAGGTCCTTTCTCTAGAGCTCTATGCACTCTCCTCCTATGATCTGCACAATCACCCCACATGTGGTCTCCCATGACTGTGGCATAGATTTTAGGCTACACTCTCATTTCTTGGTGTGAGGGACTCCTGGGTTAAGCATCTGTCTTTGGTTCAGGGCATGATCCTGGAGTCCTGGGATCAAGCCCCCCAGCAGGCTCTGTGCAGGGACCCTGCTTCTCCCTAGCCTATGTCTCTGCCTCTCTCTTTCTGTGTCTCTACCACGGATCTCTTGGCTTTTCATGGGCCACTCAGGCCTGAGGTAGTGTCGCTACACCAATTCGTCTGACATCACTGTCACATCCAGAGGAGTGAGGGTCCCCGTGTACAAGTGGCCTCTTCTGCGCAGGATGCTAGACCTTCCTCCTATATGATGACCATGGTTGCAGCCCTCTCCTTCTCTGAGTTTCCAGAAATACTGAAGACCCAGGGAGCGAGATTTTCCAGGTTGTGGGTGGAAGCCCTCGTGTGCTTTCCTGGAAAGGTTACACACTGAACATCATTGTCATCTTTCACTATTTTCACCTGTTTTAAACTTTAGTTCTCCCCACCCTGTGGGCAGGGATTCCCTCCTAGGGTGTCCTCCCCCACATGGACACAGGTCCGCAGGAACCCTGCCACGTGAGGTCTTGTGTGTGCCACTGACCTCAGAACACAAGGGGCAGACCTGCAGGGTGTTTTAGCAGGAAGATGTGACAGCTGGAGAATTTCTGGTGAGAATCCAGAGGAAGAAATTGCGTATTGGTCACCCCCTAGACCCTCTGTGCACATAAATTGGATGAATGTTCTTTTTAAGAAAATCTTCTCAATGTACATTGACTAAGACTCAATGATGATGTCACTGTGAAGACGCAGGTGGAATTACGAGTATATTGTTCACAGATCTGTGCGGACTGCATGGAGAATAACGATGGAAGTGGCATTTAAAACCTCAGTGGGGAGGAGGGCGGGGGATGGGGGTGAATGGGTGATGGGCACTGAGGGAGGCACTTGACAGGATGAGCACTGGCTGTTATTCTGTATGTTGGTAAATTGAACACCAATAAAAATAAATTTATTATTAAAAAATAGTAAAATAATAAAACTACTTCCATAAAAATCAGAAAAAAGACCTGTATCCACCACATATAATACAGTTTGATGTTTCTAGCTAATAGAGTCAGAGATAAAAATTAAATTAACTAATACCATAAAACAAAAATGTACTTTCAGATAGTATGATTGTATACATAGAAAAAAATGTAAAATGCCAGCCAAAATAAAATCTTAAAAAAATCTTAAAAACGAAAAAAAACCTCAGTGCAGTTGCACTTGGTGGCTCAGTGATTGAGCATCTGCCTTTGGCTCAGGTCATGATTCCAGGGTCTTGGGATTGAGACCTGCATTAGGCTCCCTGCAGGGACCCTGCTTCACCCTCTGACTGTGTCTCTGCCTCTCTCTCTATGTGTCTAATGGATAAATAAATAAAACATTTTATAAAAAGGAATGACTTTGGCTTTCATTTAAATAGACATTTATAATCATTTTATAAAATCATTTGTCTCTTTAACCTTATGATTATATCATGGGTCTGATCATGCAGGCAGGAAAACGTGAAGGGGTGCCCATGAGTCCCCATGAGGACCCTGTTGTATGAATTTCACAGCCATCTGAGTGCCCTGCATTGGCCGAGTTGTTCTTGAAGCCAGAGAAGCGGCTTGGGACCCCGGAGGCCTGGTGAGTCTCAGTAGACCATCAGCAGGTACTCAGGAGGCCTCCTGGCGGCTGGAACCTGTGTATGGCTACCGCTGCAGCTGCTGCTCAGGGTGCAGGTGAGTCTGGCTGTTGTTTCCAGGGATGCAGACAGGGAGGTCGGCTGGGTCAGCATAGGCTAGGACGGGGAACCTGCAGACACATTCATGGGTGATGGATCAGCGGCCAGACTGAATTTCTTCAAACCTCTAAGCTGGACCAGCTGACATAGGCTGACAGTGGCTCTGTGTCCCTGAGGTCATAATGACCTGTGCACTGACAGAGTAGAATGAACATTAAAGATCCCAGGCCAGGGTGACACAGTCCCTGGTCCCCTCCATGGGCGGGCTGCCCCAGGCCTCCTCTCCTCCCACCTCTGCCACAGGAGGGGCTGTCCTTGCATATGGGCTCCACCCACTGACTGCCCATCCCCTCCTGGGCCCTGATCCTGGAGCTCTGCTCACACCACATACTGAGGAGGATGGAGGTGGCTTCAGCCCTGGAAAAGGCCTGGGTGGAAGCACCTGCTGGGACCACATACAGGTCCCCAGGGGAGACTGCCAGGCCAGAGGGGACACAGATGCTGAGTCCCCATCAGGGAGCTCAGAACCCAGTTGTCAGGCCCAGGCACCCTGAGTGAAGGGTCCTCACTGAGCAGCCCTGTAGGGACCACAGGGCAGTCCCTCAGCGCCCCCTCCTGGTCACAGGGCACACACTTCGGCAAGGCCCAAACCCCTGAGGTTTCCAGGGCTCACCAGTTTCCTCCCCATTGGCATGTCCAGGTCTGACTCTCAGAATGGGTTCCATCTCTTGGGCATTAGAAGCATGAGTTCCACATGTTCTCACAGAAATGTATTTGCATTTTAACCTCCCGTTTTTCTTTATTTTTGTGTATTTTTATTGGAGTTCGATTTGCAAACATATAGTATGACACCCAGTGCTCATCCGTCAAGTGCCCCCCTCACTGCCTGTCACCCAGTCACCCCATTCCCCCACCTTCCTCCCCTTCCATTACTCCTTGTTCATTTTGTAACAACATATTTGTTGTATCAGTGACAAATCCGAGAAGCACAGTGTGTTCACAGATGAGCACTAGTGTGGCTCACATCAGGCCATATTGTGTTAGCATACAGTCTACACTGTAGGGACATATTCAGACCCTCACTCATTGTCTCCATCATTCATTTCTCCCTGTACAGATTCTTTTCTTTTTGGACAAACTTCATTTTTTTCCTCATATTTTGCTGTGGAATCCCCTTAGTAGAATTGTGTTAAAACATGGAAATTATATATACTACCGAAAATGGCAGAAGAGTAGGGTCCCCAAGTCACCTGTCCCCACCAACTTACCTAGATAACCTTCAAATCATCCTGAAAATCTAAGAATTCGGCCTGAGATTTAAAGAGAGAACAGCTGGAATGCTACAGTGAGAAGAGTTCGCGCTTCTATCAAGGTAGGTAGACCGAAAAAAAGAAATAAAGAAACAAAAAACATCCAAGGGGGAGGGGCCCCAAGGATCTGGGCTGAGGCCGAGGCGAGTGCCCCCAGGTCAGGAGAGCCCCATCTTGGAGGAGTAGGAGCTGCACCAACCTTCCCGGACAGACAGTTGCTCTCAGGGAGTCGGAGGAGGACCCCAGGAGGACGGGGATGCCCTCAGGCTCCCGGGGGCACGAACAGAGCCCCTGCCCCCGGGAAGAGCCCCATACCCTGCGGCCGAGCTCCCTAAAGGGCTGCAGCACAGGGCTGGACCCGGGAGCCGCTGGGAAGGGCTGGGCGGAGGCTCCGTGGAGGGGGCTGCGCGGTTGGGAGCACGATTCCAGCACCGCAGGCCTGGGAGCCTAGAGTGTGGGGACACAACCCAGGATCCGGCCTCCCCCCGGGACAGGCGGGGCCAGGAGGGCCCAGGACAGCGAGGACACCTGCCACTGGGGGCCCTGAGCTGAGCAGGTCAGCAGCTCTGCCCCGGAGCATCCAGGCTCCTGCAGACTGGGAGCTGCGGTAGTTACTGCGGGAGCTGACTCCAGGACTTGGGAGCTGGCCGCCGCCACTGCTGTTGTTCTTGGTTTCACTTTGTGCCACGGACAGAGCAGGGCTGCCAGGGAACAGGGACCTCACTGGATAAACAGGTCCCACTGAGACATGACCTGGCAGGGGGCAGGACAGTTCCCCAAGTGCACACACCTGATAGCACAACAGGCCCCTCCCCTAGAACCAGCTGGAACGACAGGGGAAGAGCAAGTTCTTTTTTTTTTTTTCTGTCAAATGATCCTTTATTAAAATATTTTCCTTTGTAGTCAACTCCCTGAGCACTCCACTGCATAACTATTGATGTCATCCATGATGTAATGAGGGTTATGGCCCTCAACATTGCATCCCACAGACTGGGCAGTCCCCAGGATCTCTTTAATGGTTCCAGAGAGTTCTCTGGCTAGAGATTGGTGTTGTGTCTGTCGGGCAATATTGACAATCTCATCAAAAGTGATATTTCCACTGTGCTTAATGTATTTCTGCTTCTTTCTGTCTCTTGGTGGTTCCTTGAGGGCTTTGATATCAGGGCAGAGGCAGAAGGTACCACTTCAATCTGGGCCTGTCTGTTCTGAATGAACAGTTTCACTGTAATCCTTAGACCCTTCCAATAACCAGTTGCCTTGACAATGACATAACCAAACTTTTTTGGAGACAGACCAAGCAGTCAATCTTCGAGGCCAGGGCAGACATTGCACCGACCTTGCCACCAGTTCACCTCAAGAACATGACTTTGATCTCGTTGGGATTGAACTTAGGCGGCATGGTGGAGGCAGCTGGTGCTGGATGAACCCGGATTCGGGAGGACCAAATACAGTTGCACCTTTACCTCCTCTGAGCCAAAAGCGGAAGAGCAAGTTCTTGACCA